CGTCTGACTGGCAAGTGCTAGTTCTGTGGTAATTTGTGTCTTTAAAATAGCTTAATACACAATAGGGCACAAAAGTCCACTGTGCTTCTGACGTAATAGCTTAAATACACATTCTCACAATGTCCCCGACCTAGAGGAACATTTTAAAACATTTTTAATAAACAAAAACAAGACAAAACCAACAAAAACCAACCTGCCGTGTTGTATTTCCTTAGCCTTTCTATATTCTTGGTATGTACAGGTACAGATAGGTAGTTCCAATTTTCTGATCTGCTTTCTTTACCTATTTAAATCTATGTCTGATAGACATCTATTGCTTAATTATCAGTTTTTCTTCTTAACAAGTTCTGCCAAATTACCTATTACCTCTGTTTAGCAGGGTTGGTTGGCAGCCTTGGAACAAGTCTCCTTATCTGTAGGATGTTCACTCAGGGCTGCAGAGAACCCAGCATAGGAGATTTTTTTAAATTAAAGAAAAAAAATATCCAAGACAAATTAGGACAAAGTGGTTACTATAGAACTGTGTTCACCCCTGATATGGAGCAGGTAGATACAATCAAGGGTAATTTTTTAAAGATTAATTTTTATTATTTAAAATTATGATCTATATATGGGGAGCAGTATGTGCCAGTGGGTGCAGGGACCCACGAAGGCCAGAGATGTCAGATCCTCTTGAGCTGAGTTACAGGTGGATGTGAGCTGCCCAGCGTGGCTGCTGGGACCTGAACTCAGTTTATGAACTGATAACATGACTGCTCCATGGTATGGCTGAGGAGAAGGTTTTTATTGTAGACTTGAGAGAGAGAGAACAGCCAGAGGCATCTTGAAGAGTCCAAAACAGAGGGAGAAAGAAGTACACTCAATGTGGCCAGCAGACTGGACATGGCCAGGGCTATCTGCAAGAGAGGGGAGAACAGCAGGGGATAGAGAATAAAGAAAGCATAGTGAGAGAAGCAGAGACAGAACACACACACACACACACACACACACACACACACACACACACGAGAGAGAGAGAGAGAGAGAGAGAAAGAGAGAGAGAGAGAAGAAACAGCAAGAATAGCAGGGTTACAAGGAGAATGAGTAGGGGGGGGGATGGAAGCCTGTGAGCTGGAGGAAGTTTAGGGTAGGGAAGGAGGAGAGAAGGGCTAGGATGCTAGCATAGACTTTGAAATGTGTAACAGGTACTTGTGATGCCAAGGGAGCCTGGAGGCCAGCATGTGCTTTGATATGCTAATAGGCTCCACAGGTAGCCATATGGCCCTTCTGCCAGAGGTTAGGCAACGACTCCTTTTGGTAGATGGGAATGAGTTCACAAGTTCCTAAGGAATGCTGGCTTTTGTCTAACTGCCTGATATCCTCCTATAGCCCAGGTTGAGCTCACTGGACTGCCTTTCCTTTGGAGCTGACACTGCAAGAGCAGGATGTGTTCTTAACGTCTGAGCCATTTCTCCAGCCACCATTTTTTTACTCCCTATGCAGATACCAATGTAGTTGTTCTAGAAATTCCCTGATAACACCCTGCTAAGCCTCTGCCCCTTTCTGTGTATTTCTCACTCTCTCCTCCCTTCCCCTCCCCTCTCTTCTTCTCCTCCCCTTTCTTCTCCACAGTCTTGCCACATAACCCAGGCTAGCCTGGATTCACATATTACCCACGCTGGTCTCGAATTCTCAATCCTGTTCCACTTCAGCCTTGTGAGAGCTAGGATTAAAGGTATATGTCACCATTCCTGGTTGCCCCCTTTTAGACATGACATCTTATTGAGCTAGAAGCACATCATCAATAGATACATTTAAAGCAGGATGCAGTGGTTTTCAGTGTATACACAGTTGTGCAATCTCACTTTAGATAATTTTACAATATGTTTGTAATTCCCCAAAGAAACCCTGCACCCACTGGCAGGTGCTGTAACTCCTCTCCCCTCATCCCCTGCCAAATGCCTCAACTTCTGGAAACCTCTGCCCTGCTTTCAGTCTCTAGAGCCTCCGCAGCCATTGCATGTAAGTGGGAATGTGTATCACATAAGCTTTAGTTTCTGGCTTGTATTACTTGGTATAATGTCTGCTGGGTGCACCCCCATTGTAGCACACATCAAATCCATTGTTAGTAATTAGTGTTCTCAGGTGTGTATCTCCCACAGTTGAGTCACTGATTTATAGGCTGATGGGTATTTAGATTGTCCTGGATCAGTTAAGGACAATACATATACAAGTTTTTGTGTGGGCATATGTTTTGTTTCTTTTGGGCATATGCCTATGGATGGAGTTCGGGCCCATGCAGAAACTTTATGTTTAACTTTTTCAGAAACTTTTACACAATTCTCCAGAGGAGCTGGACTGTTTTAAATTCTCTCTGGCAGTGCATGCAGGTTCCTTGCCAAGACTTGTTTCCTGCCTTTTTCCTGCTAGCTCCCCCAGTAGATGTGAAGTAAGACCTTGTGGGTTGGGCATGTTTCTCTGATGTCTGGTGATACTATATTTTTCTATGCTCATAATCAAGCCTCTCAAACGAAAAGTTTTGGCGAACTCAAAGCATACTGGCAACTAACTGAATGTGCCAGGTTTAAGATTTTGGGGGAGAGACAGGGTTTCTCTGTGCAATAGCCCTGGCTGTCATGGGCTTGATTTGTAGACCAGACTGGCCTTGAACTTACAGAGATCCACCAGCCTCTGCCTCCCAAGTGCTGGGATTAAAAGTGTGCATCACCATGCCCAGCCTCAGGTTTAAGATTTTTAATAAAACGCTCAAACTAGATGGTCACAGACAACTTCCCCCACCTTAGGTCATTCTGCCTAGAAGCAAATTTAAGTTTTCTTCAAGCCAGTGACTTTTCCTCCTGACCACAAATTGTCCCAACTTAAGCTCTTTTTTCTGTCAAGCAGTTTCCTGGAAGGGTTATACACCAGTGATCAGGTCTCCCATTGGAGCTTGGGACCATGGGTATGTCACACACGCTTCTTCTTGCCTTTTTCTCTGTCTTCCTGTTAGCTTCCCTTTTCTGGTTCCCCTCTCCAGTTTCTCTAGTGGCTCTACGAGTTTATTTACTTTGTCACTTTGCTCCTTCCTTTCTCCACTAACAGGCCCCAAACAGATCTTGCACTTCAGTCAGCTTTTCATTTCTACAGCTAATACCTGAGATGGTTGGCTTGTAATGGAAAGACTTATTTTAGTTTCATGTTACCAGTTTTATGTTACTTACAGGTCTTTGGTGGAAAACCATGGTAGGATCAGGTGATGGAGAGAAGCCACTGAGAGCAGACACAAAGGCCCTACCATCCATTTTGAGGGCAGGTCCACTAAGGCTCCATCTTCTAGTCCTCTAATGGAGGACTCTATTGAGAGTCCTCCACCTCTCAATAGAACTGCCTTTGAAGGACATTCACTGCCTTTGAAGGACATTCCTGATGTAAACTATAGGACCATCGTGACCTCCTCTCCTGATCCTGCTTTGTCTTCTCCATTGATAAATTGAAATTCCACTGATCTGACAGAAAGAGACAGGTATCTTTTTTTTTTTTCATGTGACAGCATCTATTTTAATTTTTTATTCAGCAGGGGACTGACTATACATGGCTCTGCTACATTTTAAAACACATGACTGAGAAAACAAGAGTATTTCTTTTTTGTTTTTTAATTTTTATTAATTACAATTTATTCACTTTGTATCCCCCCTGTAGCTCCCTCCCTCCTCTCCTCCCAATTCTACCCTCCCTCCCCCTTCTCTACCCATGCCCTTCCCCCAGTCCACTGATAAGGGAGGTCTTCCTCCCCTTCCTTCTGATTCTAGTCTGTCTATCAGGTCTCATCAGGAGTGGCTGCATTGTCTTCCTCTGTGTCCTGGTAAGGCTGCTCCCCCGTCAGGGAGAGGTGATCAAAGAGCAGGCCAATCAGTTAATGTCAGAGACAGTCCCTGTTCCCATTAGTATGGAACCCACTTGAACACTGAACTGCCATGGGCTACATTTGCGCAGGGGTTCTAGGTTATCTCCATGAATGGTCCTTGGTTGGAGTATCAGTCTCAGAAAAGATCCCTGTGCCCAGATTTTTTGGTTCTGTTGCTCTCCTTGTGGAGCTCCTGTCCTCTCCAGGTCTTACTATTTCCCACTTCTTTCATAAGATTCCCTGCACTCTGCCCAAAGGTTGGCCATAAGTCTCAGCATCTGCTTTGATACTCTGCAGGGCAGAACATTTCAGAGGCCCTCTGTGGCAGGCTCCAAGACAGGTATCTTGATGAGGCTCCCAGAAAAACTATCTGTTAGAAAATAGCTATCTGCTGTCAGGAGAAAGAGTGACTCTAGACTGGCTGCATTATCATGATCGTCTTATCAGATGATCAACAAAGTTTTCTTTTGGTTTCATTTGGTTTTTTCTTTTTGAGCCAGAATTTCACATAAGCTTTTGTAGCCCAGACTGACCTGGCTCTCATTAGGTAGCCAACTTTTGATCCTCCTGCCTCCACCTCACGAGTGGTGGGATTGCAGACAGGCAGTACCACACCAAGTTTATATGATTTGAGGAGTCAGGGGAGTAGAGTCAGGTAGAACACATGATGTCGTACATTTTAGGCAAGTGGTCTGTCAACTGAGCCAAATCCCAGAGATCAATAGCTTCTAAAACTATCTATGCTAGATCCCATCCCCTCATTAATAGGTAACTACTAAGACAGTCAGCACTCATGCCCCATTGTTACTTACTGTGTGAGGGTAAAATTGCTACCATCTTGCAGTTTGATGGAGGTCAAGGACAGTACTAGTAATTTAAAAAATGTAATAATAAAAGAGTGGGAGAAGGATTATTGTAATCATTTTCATTATTGCCATATTTGATTTATGAGGAGATTGGACACAGCTAAGGTAAAAGGTAATATTCAGACACCATATTAGGATGAATTTAAAGACCACAGTGTGGACCACACTGACGTCCTCGGCCCTGACCAAAGAGATCTTGGGTCCTCAGACCTAGAGCACGGAGTGATGCTGGTCCACGTCTGTTTTTTCAGAACCAAGGGACCTGAGAAGGAGGAGAAGCTGAGGCGGGCAATCAAGCAGGTGCTGAAGTGTGATGTGACCCAGAGCCAGCCTCTCGGTGAGGTTTCTCTGCCTCCTGCGGACTGCCTGCTCAGCACGCTGTGCCTGGATGCTGCCTGCCCCGATCTCCCCACCTACCGAACTGCCCTCAGGAACCTGGGCAGCCTGCTCAAGCCAGGGGGCTTCCTGGTGCTGGTGGATGCCCTTAAGAGTAGCTACTACATGATTGGAGAGCAGAGGTTTTCTAGCCTTTCCCTGGGATGGGAGGCCGTTCGAGATGCCGTGGAAGAGGCTGGCTACACCATTGAGCGGTTTGAAGTGATTTCTCAAAATTACTCTTCTGCCACAGCCAACAACGAAGGACTGTTCTCCCTAGTGGGGCGTAAGCCAGGAAGATCTGACTGACGTGCTGTGATCCCAATTAAAGGCTTGCTGGTTCATTTCAGGTAGTTCTCACTGTGTGGTGTAGAAACGGAATGGTAGGACCCCATGGTTCAGGGTGGGGCGGGCTCACAAACCATCCTTTTATGCTCCGAACACATATTAATGCTCTGGAACCCTCAGGTGAGTAACTGAGAAATCTGATCTCCTCCACCTATACTCAAAAAAGAAAGCTGCACTACCACAAACATGAAGTTACTGACATACCTGTGAATCAAACACGAATCAAGCTCACACCTGCCATTCTCCATCTCCTGGAAAGCCTGGAGACAGAATGGGACTTCTGTGTTACGAGATCTCCAGTTCAGCTGGGGTTGCGGGAGTAGCAGCAGACGGTGATTCCTGAGCCTGATCAGGTTCGAGCTGGGGTGCAGGCTCTGGAGCTCAGGCAGCCATCAGAGCACCTGGCCTGACTTGGGTAAATCAGACAGCTGCTTCATGAGCAGCTGGAAAGGAGCTCGATGCTCCAAAACCGAGAGAGGCAGAGGCTGGAGCTTAGAGAACAGCCAGTCACTTGCTCCCGAAGACAAGCACTGTGGTGGGCAGAGCTCTGAGAGAAAGATGGCAGCAGCTCTCTGAGCTGACACACCAGGTAAATGGTGGCTGCCTGACTGGAGGTCAAACTTGGGGATCCAGCGATGAATTCTTCAGGGAGAAGGGGAGCCCTTCCTTCCCCAGGATAAATGATGAGTCTCAGATGATCTTTGATGAAACAGATGGCTCATTTATTCCATGTGAAACAGTGACTTATAAACCTTGGTCAGTGGGAGGGGCTTTGGGGGTGAATGTGTCTGATTCACTGGGACTAGGAGTGCCAGGGAAACTTCATTTACATGCAGCAGCACAGTCCTATTATAAAAAGGGGAGCACAGTGCTTAACTGTCCTATGGGCAGCAGGAGGTGCAGCCTGAGGAGAAGAACTTCAGGTAAGGTTAGAGGTATGGAAAAAGATCATTGGTTGAAATCTAAGGTACCAAGACATCTCGTTAGCATGGAGGGAATCCCCAGGTATACAATGAATGGATTTTTTTTTTTAATGGGGAAAGGGTTGGGCCTGAGGGCTATGTGACACCTTTTAGGGTATCTGGGGTTTCCCAGTTGAGGAAGAGAGTCTGTCATTTTAGCAATGAGCTCACAAGCTATCTGGTGATGCTAAACTTCGACTTTTAATAGCAGGGTCCAACACATACCTGCCCACAGAGGCATCAGTTATTCATAGTTAACCTCTCAGGGAGCTGTTGCATTCTTTTCTTGCATTCTTCCTGGAAAGACTGGCACACCCCAGCCTCTGACGCTGATGAATCTGCTCTGGGCCCAGCCAGGCTCTAATGGACCTCCTCCCCTAACAGCATCACAGGACAGCTGATCAGCTTTTCTTCCTATTCATCCCAGTGATCCAATCTTTTTTCTTTCCTAAAGCTCCTCTCATTTTCAAAATCTACCGTTCCACAGATGTCTCTCCCTAGGAAGTTATCTAACGATTCTGTGCCTCAATTTCCTCACCCACAAAGTAAGATTGAAATAGAACCACTTGTTATGATGACAAAAATGCACTACAAGCTAAAAAAAGAAAAAAATCCAGGGAGATGCTTGGTACTCAATAGGCATCCAATAAATGATGATGGTTAGATCATCATTATTATCACTATCGTCACAGTCCCATCTTGGCTATCGGTTGCCAAAGCAGCTAAGAAGAGATGTTTCCATCTCCAAATAGGAGAGGAGTCCTTCTCTGGGCCCTCCACTGGTGTGGCTGTCGACAGCATCCATGAGAAAACAGTTTCCACACCACATGCCACCAGGTTCTTTCTCATTCAAGAGCTATCCAGCAAACATGCATTTAGCATCCTCTATGTGTCCTTCCTGTGCCGGGTCCTGGGAATGTAAGTGAAGCCCTAATGTCAGCTGGCTCAAGAGCCCTGGTCTTTGCAGACGCGGTGACATGACAAGTGTTCCCAGATGCTGCCAAAGGCAGGGCTCTCTGCAGTCCTCACGCAGAGTCCACCTACTCGGCATCTTCTGTACAAGCTTTCCAGCCTGACAGTTCTGGGCAGGGCCATGAGAAGAAAGCTGCTTCCCTGCCTGTGTGTCAGAGCCATGCTGGCTTCCTGCCCAAGTGGCAGAGAACTCTTTCTGTCGGTACCAGGGTTGGCCAGGAACAAATTCTTTCTGGCATCCTGGGTCATACAATCTTTTCTTATTTATTTACTTATTGATGACTGATTGATTGATACTGGGTCTCACTAAGTAGTACTGACTGTCCTAGAACTCAACAAGATCCACCTGCTTCTGCCTCCCAAGTGCTGGGATTAAAGCCTTGATCATAATGTCTTGTTCATAGCTATCCACCCACAGCTGGAGCAGAATCAGCCACAGGGGACATGAGAATGAAAATACAACTTCACTCACTGAAACTGATAGATAGGTAAATTTGGACCAAGGCTTGTGGTTTGTAGACTTTGATCTGGGCCCAGAAGCAGCCCTACTTGTGGTTCAAGTTTAATGAAGTTTCTGGGGAATACTTTGGTTGCTTGTGATACTCAGACTTGTAAGGGAGCTCAAGGGTCAGGCCAGTGGACAGGTGGTATATTGTTTCTTCTGCACTCTGTCCACACTCTTTCCTTCTCTTTGTTGCTGTTCCTCTAAATCAAAACCTCCCAGCCTGAAGGCATTCTATACGTAAAAACAGAAAACAGGAAGCAAGTAGAGGCAGAGGAGTGCCGGATAAAGTGTCCACTGCATCAATATTTTTCCACCGCAAGCTACCATTCATCAGAATATCATAAAATCAGTTGAGAGCACCACAATGCACCTTACAGAAATGACAGGACAATCTGGGCAAAAAGAGATCTGATGATAGAGCAGCGTGCAATGCCATTTTATGAAGTTTTGTTTTACAGATCTGCACATCTATCTGCTTACATACTGACCCACATGTCCACACAGCTAAGTTAGCACTGTAGGTGTCCTCCACCTGCAGAGTAAGCTTCCTGGCTGGGCATCCACCTGAAAGATACTCATTACATTCCCGTTGCTGCGGTAAAATACTCCGACAGACAGCAAGTCATGGAGAAGGAGTTTAGTTCAGCTTGCAATTCCAGGTTACAGCTCACCGGTGTAGGGAAATCAGGGTGAAACTTCAAACAGCCGATAACACATCCTCAGTCGGGAGCAGAGAGAAATGAGTGCACACGTGGTCAATTAGTTGCTTGTTGATCAGTTCTTTAGCTCAGTGTCTCCACTCTTATATAGTTTAGGACTCCCTGCATACTCTGGGCTTGGTTGACGTACAACGATGGCCCCACAGACATCTACACAGGCCAAGCCAAGGTAGACAACCCTTCACTGAGAGTCTCATTCTAGGTGATTCTAGACAGACCAACCATCACAGCTTGATTATTTGCTACTGGATTATGATATAGCTTGTATTTCCTACTGACTGTGAGCCAAAAAGTTGGAGAAGCACTTGCCTATACTCTGGGCTTCTGAGACTGGACTATGAGAACACGTTTTTCTTTCATGTAGAGACAAATTCGATTGCTTCTTCATCCTAAAAAATGCTTAGTCACTCAGAGAAACTGACACACAAATATAAAGTCATGAGTGAGAGAAGGGCTGGGGTGGAGTTTCAGTAGCACTGGGTGCTTGGAAGAAGGTGCCGGTACTTGCTCTGGGTTTTGCAGGCTGAATAAGGATCTGCTTGGCCGCTAGGAATGGAAGAGAGGCCCGGGGAACAGTGTGTACCAATGCATGAAATGGATTTCTGCCAGAAGCAGACCCACCCTTTACTGGTTTGTTCTTTCAGTGAAACCCAGACCTAAGCAAACATTTGACTTCTGGTTTTCTTTCTGTTTGCCTTTTCCGAAATCAAACAGACCAACCAAGTCATGAGCAAACACAGACTGAGGGGTTACTCTGGTCCCAGCTTGTAAATGTCTTTGACTGCTGACCCTGCTCAGCTTTTTCTAGTGGGCTTTACTGAGGGAAGTGTTGATCAGTTTCACCCTGAGCAAACTCTTACCATGCAGGAGGCTGCATGGCTATGCCTAATGCCCTGTGGAAGACCAGGGAAAAAGAAAGCCATTAAAGAGGTGGTTAGCCCATTTAGTGTCATGCAGCCCAGCCTTGGTAATTCCTGTCATCTGGCTGTCAAGAGTAATCAAAGGAGATATTCATGATATGGCTTACCAGGCTCCGCTTTGAAGGCTGTGACTGCCTCTCTAATTCTAACCTCCGGCCAACTCAAAGATGAGAAGCAACCAGTGAATCATATGGAGGGGAGAATGTTGGGGGATTGAGGACAGAAAATATCATCATCATTAGAGTACCACACCACTTTCATCAGGCTGGAGGTCCTTCTTGAAAACAGGGGCACTGGGCATCTCTTAGGAATAGACTGAAATCAAATGAGAGGCCCACAAAGCCATTCTGTAACCTGCTATACTATATTCGAAATTTGCAGTATAATTAACTCCTTCTAGAATGGCTGTTAAAATGCAAGCTTCTATATTCATTAGATTTTCCTAATGAGCAGAGTTAAGCATGGTCTTCAAAACCTGGTTTGTCTTTTTATCCAAGTCTGCCCCACAGACACTTGGAATCCAACCTTCTTTAGAGCTAGGCATTCACTCAGAAGATATTTATTGCACTCTGATTAGATTCTAAATCTTATTTCTGGTTTCATGGCCCTTAATTTCTCTGGGGAAAGGCAGAGGTCATGGGGTCTCACAGCTCCTAGAAAGTGTATGTGCTAGTTAGCTTTAATTGTCAACCAGGCACAGCCTCGAGTCATCTGAGAAGAAATCCTATATTGAAAGATTGATGAAGGCAAATCATTTGATGTAGGAGGGCTCAGCACACTGTGGGCAATACCATCCCTTAGGCACCACACCTACTGTGGTTCTGGGTGGTATAAGAAAGACAGGTGAGCGTAAAAGTAGCAAGTTGCCAGTGAAAAGTGTTCCTCCCAGCAACAAAATAAAACTAGGACAGTAAACTA